CTAAATTTTAAGGAATATTTATATTTTATCGTCTAAGCTACTAATAGATATAAGAGATTTTCTTTTTAGCTTAGCTATTTCTCTTAGTATATCTAGCCTTCCTAGTTTTTTTATAGCTTACTAAGTTTCTATTCTATTTCTTATATAAGTTAGGTTATAGATTAAACTTACTTCTTAATTTTACCTAAGTCTACTTAAAGGTTATACTATATAATAACTTTAGATATTAGATAAGTTTAGTATATAATATCCAGGTATTAGGTATATTAGTTCTCTAGATAAATCTTATTTTCTACCTGTTTTAATATAAAGTAGTTTTTATTAGCTTCCTTAGTAATTATTTTATACTATTATATATCTTTATCTCTAAAGGCTTTTAGAATTACTTGATTTTAATACTACTATAGAAACTATTTCTAGGTTTACTTCTTATAGAGGTAGCGAAGATAGTTATTATAGATATAAGTAATCTAGAAAGTCTCGCCGTGTTCCTTGTAGTAGAGTAAAATAAGTTAGTTATCTTCTAATTAGATTTCTATATCTCTTCTAGATAGGTCTCTATTATCCTTACTTATATACTTTCTATAGCTATAGATAATATAGTAAGTAATAGGGTCTCGTTTTATTATTAATATATTATATAATTTCTCTATAGTAAGGGTTTCTTCCTTACTATCCTCTTCTATAGTACTTTCTTTAATTATTACTTCTTTAGATACCGTTTCTTTAGTTAGTTTAGATCTTCTTATTACTTCTAAGTATTTCTATAGTTCTACTTTTTTATAAAGTAATAGGGGTTATTTACTAGCTATTAAAATATTTCTTTTCTTTAGATACTAATCTATACTATCTTTTTCTAACTTATATATAAAATAGAGATTATTAGTATAACTAGTCTATAATATAGCTATATAAGGTACTTCTTCTTTTTCTATAGTAAAGTTTTCTTATCTTAGTACTAGGTCTTTAATCTAATTTTTCTTATTCTTGTTTTTCGGGTATTTACGGGCGTAGTATCTCTTTTCCTTATAGTAGAGATACTTACCTTTCTTCTTTAGTTACTCCCTTTCTTTATTAGATAGATATTTTATCTATAAGGCGCTAAGTTCTATAGATGCGGATCTATTATAGAATCTCTTATATAGATAGTTTAGGGCTCTATTAACGTAGCCCTTCCTTATATCTTATTTAAGTATAGATTAAAAGATCTTTTTCCCTCTCTTCTTATAGCGTCTTTTATATAGTTAGTTATTAATCTAGACTATAAGCTTAATATATTTCTAGAGGTTAGTAGAACGGTCTCTCTCTCTAGAGATTTCGTCCTTAATATTATTATATAATCTAGTATAGAACTAGAGGATTAGGGGTTTATTATTCTATCCTAACTAACTAGAGATTTATTAGAACTTTAAGACGTAGTTAGACGTAGATTTTATCTAGACTATTTACTAGATCTATCTCTTAGCTATTCTTTATTTATCTATATCTCTAAAAGTTATCTTAATATATTCCTTAAATTCTTCGAAGCGTTTAAAGACCTTAGTAGTATTATTCTATTAATTCTATAGATTATTTTCTATAAAGTTCCTTAAGTAGAGCTTAAACTATATAAGTATATCTCCCTTTAGTAGTCTAGTAGCGAATATAACTTATTCTTCTAGGTTCTAAATTTAATAGGCCTAGAGGTATATTCTAATCTATATTAGAAATCCTTAGAGTTTACTTTACTTACCTTTAAAAGGTTCTAGGATTTTTCTTTTAAAACCCTCTTTAGCTTTTCTAAGTTTAATATTTTCCCTTCGGAGCTCCGTAACTTACTCCCCTAATTCTATAATAAGATATCTAACTTATTCTATAGTTAGTACTTATAGAATAGTTTATAAAGATAAGGACTATCTATTATTTACTATTTTATATTTAAATAGATAGTATAAATACTTACTTTAGAGTCTAAGTAGAGTAATTAAACTATAATAAACCTTTCTAGATAAGGGTATAGCTTATCTCTAAAGTAGTCTATTCTATAGAGTATCCCGGCTTTTCTAAAGGTAAAGGTACTTAGAAGGCTCTAAGAGATATAAGTAGGTTTATAGTAAGTATTAATAGAGTATAAATAGTAACTAGCTAGTAGGCGAGTGAAGTAGTAATTATATTAGTATAAGTTAAAATTAATTACTATAGAACTATCTCTAGAGGTTAGATCTAAAGGGTCTATATAGTTCTACTAAGGTCCTCTAATTAGAATACTTATTCTAAGTATTTAGTATATTACTTAGAATACCGATATTCTATTTCTAATTATCTAGTAGGCTACTTAGAAGATCTATTCTAAGTATCTATAATTAGCTCTCCCTATAGGTATCTATCTTAGCCTTAGGTTATTATCTAAAGCCACCTATTATATTATAGGTACCTCTTCTACGTACTATACTATCTCTTATACTACTTATACTAGAGTCTACGTATTCTTCTATGGCTCTAGCTAGTAATTTATCATAGGTATTTAGTATAAATATAGCTAAATATTCCTAGGTTATCGTAGATAGGAGCTACGCTTCCTTCTATCTATTCTATTAATTATAGAATTATAAGTCTAGGTATTATTCTCTAAATAAAATATATTATACTTTAGTAGAAAAGAGTAGAGGGTTATTAAGAAAGTACTTTTTATAGTCTCTCTTCTAGTCTTTCTACTTCTTTTAGTTCTTCTCTATAAATATAGTAGAGTCTTTAGATTTTAGTATATCTAGAGAAGGAATAGAGTAAATTAGTAATAAAGCGGCTAGGTATATAGTAGATTATTATAACTCTAGTAGTAGGTAAACTAATTCCGTCTAAATTAGTATAGAAAGTTATCTATCTATTATTATTTAGCGTAGTTCTTTAAGAGACTCCTTAAGTTCTTATCTCTTTATAAGAAGTTTTATATATTCTATCTACTCTTTAAGGGTTTAAATCTCTTAAGCCTAATTTATAATATATTTCTAAAGTTTAGTAATAGTTTATTATAATACCTTATATAGCTCCGCTATAACTTATTATCTAGCTTTATATTATTAGAAATTACTTAGTATATCTACTATTTCTTTATTTGAAAGTTCTATAATTTAGTTTAATATCTCTACTTCTTAGTTAGGAATAGCTAGAATTAATACTAATTATAGAGGATCTCTATTATTTAATATAGTATTACTTATCTCTATAGTAGATTATATTAATCTTCTTAGTTCTAGTTAGACTATCTTAACTATAGTACTATATAGAGAGTAATTTAAATATAAGAATAGGGTTATTAGATAGTAGTATAGTTAGATAGAATAATAGGGTATATTCTATTATAGAATAAATTACTACTAAACCCTTTTAGTAGAAATCTAAGAGTATATATATAAAGGGATACTAATCTATCTAGTATATAACTATTTACTACCCTTCACGCTATCTTCTAACTAGGTTAGCTAAGGTATATATAGATCGGGTTATATCTAAGGCTAAGTTCTAATACTAGAGCTCTTCTTATTCTTCTTTTTAGATTAGAAAATATTATTAGAGTCTTCTAATAGATTTATAAAGTAACTAGCTTTTATAGAGACTTTAAAAGGCTTATTAAGAGTAATTAATATATACTCTAGATCTATAACTTTATTAGAAAGATCTATATAGGTTAGTAAGATTCTATAGAAGAATATATTAACTAAATTTACCTTCTATCTTAAGAAGAGACTTATTAATAGTAATTACTAACTCTTATAAGGCTAGGGCCCTAACTTTAGAGCTCTAACCGCTCTCTTTAATTAACTAAGCTAAAGTCTTATCTTCTAAGTTAGAATCTTAGAAGAATAGTAAACCCTAAGGTCTATTTAGATATAGATAACTATAGACTATCTTTAAGTAACTCTTATAAACTATATAGATTAATCTATACTTAAGAAATAAAGTAACTTAATCTACTATCTAGAGAACCTATATTTACTACTAATATAGTATTAAGTAACTTACTCTTAGAAGTTCTATATAGATAATCTATAAAAGTATAATAAAGATCTTTATTTATAACTATATCTACTATAAGAAGATTAAGTTAGAAAGGAAAAGATAAAGTTAAAGTTTATATATATAAAATTATAATATTAATTAGAGTAATTTCTAAGCTTATAGAAGTTCTAGCTATATTATTAGATATTATTAAAGGAATTTAGTATTAGAAAAGCTAAGAAAAAGATTAAATTAGTTAAGAAATATAATATTAAAAGATAGTAGAATATAAGAATAGTAAAGGTAACTATTTAGTATTAAAATAAGCTTAGACTACTACTCTTATATAATATATTACTAACACGGCCTAGTACTAAAGAGATTTTATATATCTATCTTTCTATATTATATATTCTAACTCTATTAGTTATCTTTAATAGTCTTATAGAAGCTTATATAATTAGAAGAGGAAAGATATAGAATTTCTATTAGATAATCCTTATTACTTAGAACTTATTTAGTGTTAGGCACGTATATATAGTATATAGATAGACTTAGTAGATATATTAATTAATTTTGCCACGTCTAATTTACCAAAGTGCCTACAATTTTGCGGTTTGGAAGTCACGAGGTGAGGTTTATTTCCGACGTTAATTATAGAGGCGGATGGGATGTGTGCTTTGTGGATGTGGGGCCGGGCTGTTTCCGACGAATGAGCGTGGGGCGGGGAGTGTGCTGACAGACGGAAGGCCAACGGCAGGGCTAGTGGTTCCTAACGTCCGAATACCTTATATCCAGCATGTCGAGGACATCTATTGGTGTGTCTGGCCGGTATGCAAAGTGTACCGCGGTTCGGCGGTCGTTGTTCATACAACAGCAGGCAGTGCTAGAGCCGGACGGGATGCCCGGACAAGCGAGCTCGCAAATAGATGTATCATCTTCACGCTGCCACACCGGGAGATCTGCATTGACCGGATGCGAGATTGAGGTCTCGTTGTGGTCTTGACTATCAAATTCTGGGGTATCTATCTGCTCCGCTCACACTCAGGAACCAGGAATCGATTCAGGAGCCAGGCAGGATGTCGGTAGCGATCTTGACGATCCATCCGTCGCCGAGCACGTCGCCCTTTTCGTCGATACCGCCCCAGATCATAAATTGCCTTGTGCCCGTCATGGCGCTTGCAAAGGCACCTCTGCCCGTCCAGCTACCGCCTTTCCTCTCCTCGTCTCCAATGTCTACGCTGGTAATCTCGACGGGCGCCCACTGCCCCTTGAAGCTGTCTACCTTGGGGATATTCTCCCTGATTGCATCCTTCACTCCGGCGCCGGACAGCATGGCGGCTGGGAGCTGATAGGCCCACATGTCGTGCAGATATCTTGCGCCCGTCACTTCGCGGGCTTCGTCTTCGCCGAGCGCCACAAGGAGGTACTCGCGGCCTTGACCGGTCGAGATGTGATGTAATGCAGTCATGCTGCGATTTGCTGGATATAGCGGCCTGCTGCTGCTGTCTTCTCCTTGACCCGTTGTAGCTCCTTCCCCAGCTGATACCGACTCCCAGCCAGACGTCTCATGCTCTTGCTGAGGCTCCAAGCCCGCCTGCACGAACGGCTCAAGCTGCGGTAAGGTCAAGCACTGCAAGACGTCCTGGGGGTTCTCGCCTCCAGATGTGGTCACGCCGCCGAACCGCCAGAGTTTGTTCTGGGCATATGCTAAGCTCGGACTGGACCTGGCAGCTTCGTGTGCGGTGGACAGCCTCGTCCACTTGCCGTGATCGAGCGGAAAAGCCCAGGTGTCATCCAGGAGCTTCCCATCCGCGTCTCTCCCGCCGTGAATGAAGATGACGTTACCGTCGTCGCTCGCAGTGCTTGCGTGGCCCGCCCGTGGACTTGGAAATTTCGTATCTGGCGGCGGGTCTAGGAAGAGCCAGCTGGTGGTGGCAGGATCATATACCCACAGTCTGCCTTGTTCGTCAACTGGCTTGCCTTGCCCGTCCTCGCCGCCGAATATGAACATCTTGTTCCTCGCACTGACCGAAGTGTGCCGGGCCCTGGCTGCCGGCGCGCCTTGCTCTTTCTCTGCTGTGTGACATGGGACTCTTTCTACACTAGCCGTGGTCTGTTCGGTGGTGTTGAGGTTCAGGACAGTGACTTCGTTGGAGGCGAGGGCGGACGAGCTGTCTAAGGAGGTCCTCCCACCGAAGACGAAGGCCTGTGTGCCAATGACATTGAGGGAGTGATGGGCGCGCTCAACATTCTTGCCGGTCGCGACATGCTCGAGGTGTACTTTCAACGGTAGAGTGGGTTTCGTGACAAAATAAGCACCGACAGCACCTTCAACGACAGTCTCGGCGGTGTAGGCCAGTGCGGTTGCAGCGATGGGATCCATGGGGAGGCGGGGACAGGCCTGGAAGTGTGGGATAGAGTAGTGTGAGGGTATGGCGGAAGTATGTGAAACACGGTGGATTGTCTTGCCTCCTGGACGCAAGCTAGGCGTGGTGCGAGGAGTTGAGGTATGACGTCATTTGCAGAACGCGAGCCTGAGCCTGAGCCTCAGGCTTCAGCTACAGACAACATGCTCAGGGGCATGTGTCGTGTTCTGAAACAGACGATGGGATCGAACGGTAGTACTCAACACACCACTGCACCGGACCTTCCGTTGATGGGAGTGAAATGTGGATAGTGCATGGTAATATGGATGTCTCGGGTACAGGTGCGAGCTAGATGAGTGCAGTAGTCAACGAGGAGAGAATGGGCGGTCAAGGCATTTTCTTTTCTTTTTTTGATAACAAAGATCAGCGCGTCGTACTACTTGTCGATAGATTGAAACAATCAATCAATCGACGATGCAGCACGAGACTGGAAATGAAGATGGCCGGTGATGGAGCAGAAGTGGCAGGTGAGCTCAAAGGGCAGATATCAGCACGTGGAAGCATCCATGACAGGCATGGTGGCGGCGCGGGATGGAATCATCTGCGCGGGAGTTTAAGCAGCAGCAGCAGCAGCAGCAGCAGGCAGCATTGAGGAAGTGAGAGAGTGGAGACGAGATGAAGAAAAAAGGCCGGAGGGTTGCGGCAGTAAGTATTAGTGAGTCGAGAGTGAGGGTCATGAACAGACAGTCCGTCCGCATTGCAGTGGGCCTCCAAGCTCCATAATAAGAAGAATGCTCGAGTCGTGAAGGTGAGGTAGGTCGGGCCGGTTCGTCAGGTATGAAAGAAGGTGAAGAGATCAGTAATGACGGGGACACGACAGGTGGGAGTAGAGTCAGTAGAGAGTAATTAGCTAGAGTAGTAGTAGTTTGCAGGTCAGGGAAGGGCTAATTAGTGGTGAATGCACAGGACACACAGGACAAGGACACAGGACGCAGGACAGCAAAGGTGACAAGCCAGGCATTCCCAGCAGACAAAAGGATCAGCGTTTGTGTTGACACATGAACCGGAGCAGATGGTGAGACGGAGGCGGAGACGGTGGGGAGGCAGGAGGGATTATTTATTGTTGCGATGAATGAAGATGATGCTGTTGGTATAGAGAGAGTATTAAGGTAGAGAGAGAAGAGTGAAGATTGTGAGGGTGAGAGCGAAGTAAGGCCGGATCGCGAGCGCACGGACCCTGGCTGTGCGCGGACGATGTCGGGCAGTGACGTAATTCAGGGTTCACAGTTCACAGGGTCGGGCAGACGTCGGCGCGGACAACGCTCAATACTAGGTAGGTAAGTAGGAGGTAGACAAGTGGTAGGTTGCCCGATGGCTGAGTGTGTGAGTATTGACAGTAACCAAACTATTGATATTGGCCAGCCATGGCATGCACAGCGACACAACAACACACACCAGCAAAAGTATACGAGTGCGAATGATGAGTGGTGAGTGGTGAGTGGTGCAGGCGTGGCGAACGGTGGAAGAAGAAAGCAGCAGACAAGCGGCGAGCTGTATCAACCCATCCATGCATCCACACGAAACGCAGGGGCTTGTTAACGGTCGGCACAACGTCATTCTCGCGCCAGCATCCACCCTGGCAATTCATCGTTGTGTTACGGACAGGGCCTTGCATTGACTGTCTGGGTAAGTAGGTAGTAAGTAGACAGACTGTTACTGGTGACACGCCCATGTGTGTATGTGTGTCTGTCTGTGTGTGTGAGGCTGGCTGTGCCTGTCCTGCTCTCCTGACTGCCTGCCATCCGCCCAGCCAATCAGGTGCCAGCAGTCTTGTAGCCTAGCCCCCTCCTCCATCCCGTCAATCGTCATGTTAATCGCCAGGAGAGGGAGAGAGAGAAAGACAGTCGAGAATTAGAGAGGCCTTTTGATTGTAATGCTAATAATAATTAAATCACAACATTCCTTTCATCTCATCTCTCTCAACCCACGCCCGGCTCACTCGCTCAATCATCATCACTCAATCACTCAACTGCCGCCCACCCACTTTTAAAAAAAAACACACAACAGGTGGAGCCGCTGCTCGTCATTCTCTCTCACTCTCTCACACACACACATACATACAGTACCGTCGACTTCTTCACGCACCGCGACACGGCCCCCTCCCAAAGGAGCCAAAACTCATTCTTTTGATTTTCTCCTGTCCCGAAGCCCCTCTCCCCCCTGCCCCCCCCCGGGCTGTCCTCGAATCGCGTCACTTTGTCAAATCTCTACTCTGCTGCTCCTCTACTCCTACTCTTACTACTACTACTACTACCACTACATCTACATCTACTACATCTACTACTTCCTCTCTCTGCGCGCCGCCATCCATCGACTTTGCCGCACTCATCATCCACACCCACACACAATCAATCCACGCGCTTGCTGATCTCCCTTGGCGCCTAAACCCTCTCACAAACCCCTCGCCTGACCGCCTCGTCCAGAGCGAATAAGCCTTTCGCTTTGCCCCCTTATTAGCCGATCGTCTGCATCATATCCTCTTTTCCTCCTTCTCCTCCTCCTTCTAATCCACAAACCCAACTGATCCGTCTGCTGGTGTTTGTGCCGCTCCCTGCCCATCCACCCGCTAAACTTCCTCACATCACATACATACTATACTACTGTACTCTATTACCTTACATACCTTAAATCACCCCCACCGCCATTCTGCCTACTCCCTGCCACCACCTCCACTCCACTTGTCGTCCATCCCAGCATCTTCTCTCCGCCATCGCTCCCTCCCTTACCCCGTCACCACTACCACCCATATCCGCCACTATCACCACTACCACCACCACCACAACGGCCAACATGTCTTCGCAACCACAACCACAACCTGCCGCCATCACTTCGCCCATCCTTACCGTCACCGAACACACTGCCGACGGTCCCTCGCACTCCGACATGGAAGATCATCACTCGTCCGCTTCTTCATCCGCCAGCGACGACTGCTCCGACGGCTCAAGACTGCAGCGCCCGAAGCTGGGCAGCAGGAAAAGCAGTGGCACCATCATCATCCCACGCGACAGCCCGCACGTCGAACTCAAGGATGAAGACTACGACGAGACCGATGCACGAACCATGAGCCCGAGGAGAAGCAGCGAGGAGATTGACCGGCTGGGTGAAGGCGCAAAGGATGCTCTGCTTGAGTATGCTGCCCTGCGTGATACTATTGCCCTTCACATTGAACTAACCCCTGCACAGACAATCAAAACAACTCCAGGCCAGTCTGCTCGAGATTGTTGAGCGCGTCGAGTCGGTGCGAGCCGAGCATGAGAAACTCGAGGGCGGGAACCGCTTCCTGCAGTCGTATGTTGCCCTACTACCTCTCTCTCACTCTCTCATTTGGACGCGCGCTAATCCCCATTCCAGATATATCGGCGAACTCATGCAAACCAGCAAGCTGATTGCTGCCGGTGCCTCGAAAATGAAGGGCAAAGCCAAGTCGCGAGGCTGATGCCATTGACTCTTGTGATTCCATTCCATCCAATTCACTCACTCCCACTCGACTCTATCCAATCATCATCATCATCATCCACCACGCTTCTTCTCACCGCAGTCGAAGAAGATGTTCCATCCGTCCTTGCATAGCGATGCGCGTTGGTTGCGCTCCATCATCCCACTATTTGGCCTCTCTCATCTCGGCCGCCTTTCAAGGCCCAGCCCTGCATTCCATCTTCTCCCCATTCGCTTCTCTGTAATCTACTACCATAACAACACTAAATCAGCCATGTCGCTGCACATGCGCTCTTACTTTTACAATCCACATTCCGCTCGGATACACATCACGAGTAGTTTGGAGCTGAGGACAACTGCCGCTTTTTGCGAGAGAAAATGGCCTCGGCTCCACCCAGGCGTCGACAGGAGGAAGAGGAACCGGCGTTCTTGTACGATTGTTTGATTTGCAGTTGGTTTGCAGGTCCACGGTGCAGAGACGGGCCATACCGCTCTTCAGTGTACAACAACACTATGATACCAGCCAGCCTTTGAGCAGGCTTCAGACAGCAAATGAGAGGCTAGCTAGCTATACGCACACACACATACACACTCACCTCTTGTCCACGTTCGCAGTCTCGCTGAGACCTGCACGAGAAGTAGAAGCAGAAGTAGAAGTAGCTTATTAGCGTCAATGAAAGTCTTTCAAATAAAACACTACAATTGCTAAATCAACATGACCGTGTAATTACTGGGTGCATCGACGCGTCAAGTGCTGCCTGAAGTTATAGTACGCGACGTGTTTTGTGCGTGCGTGCGTTCGTGGTGGCCTGGGGCAGGCAACTCCGACCACCGCTTGCGCCAGAACTCTCCACTTCCCCCCGGTCAACTTGATGATATTGCGCCTCACTCGCAGCCAGTCGCCAAAACTGCGACTCTACCTGACAAACAAACTTGAATACTCCTCCTCGACTTCCCGTGTGTCGCGCCTCTCCAGTACATACAAGCCAGCCAGCCAGCCCCCCCCCGAGCGGGTCGATGTCTTGCATTCTTCCCCGGCACGTCGTTGTCGCGCCGCCGCCGCCGCCGCCCGGCAAACATCGTCATCATCGTTCTTCGTAGTAGGTAGTCGCACCGAATAATGGAGTACAGCACCGACATCTCTGCCATCAAAAGCCAGCTCGAGATCGAGCAGATCCTGCTGGACAGCCTGGACCGCGAGGCCGAGGATTACGACGAGGACAGGATCAACTACGAGCAGAATATTCTCACGCTGGAGCGTCGGCTGCAAGAGCTGGGGTACTGTGCTGCTGAGGCGCGGGATGGGAGTAGTCCTGCTGCTGTGACTGTGGACGCTCGAGATGGGCATCTGGGAGGTCGGACTGCGGTCATGGAGGACGTCCAACACGCGCGTCAGGGAAACCACACTCCTTCACGCGACTCGACCAACGATCAAATCCACTATCCCGCCCTGAACCATACTCCACAGTCCTCTTCCTCTGCCTCTCTGCCAGATCTCGCTCTCGAACCTCAGCTCCAACGGAAGCGCGCCCACGAACATACCCTCTCCTCGCCACTACGTGCTGGTCCTAAATTCCCTCGATACACACCCAGTCCTTCACTCAGCGGCCGCAACACACCCCATACAGGAGACGCTCCGGGCGCCTCGCTACTGGAGAATGCCACCCAAAACGCCTCGTGGCCCGACTTTCGTGGCATGGGCAAAGCAGAAAGCCAGCAGAATCAGAGACATCACCCCATCGGACAAGACCATGCATTCGGAGATCGATCTGCCGCTCATCCCACGGAGCTGTCACTGCCCAGCAGGCTTGCAAGTCAACAACCCCCTCTCCATTCCCACAACACTCAGAGACCCTTTCTCCCACCCTTACCATCACCATACAACACCCCTCCCATGACTGTCAATGGCCGGAATATCAACACTGGCTACGATACCCTGGCTTCTTCCAATCCTGCTAGCACGAGGAGGGGCTACTCCCAGCTCCCGCCTCCCTCGAATCTCAAGTTCGAACCGCAAACGTCGTCAGAGAACAAATTTGCCTTTGGTGGACAAGAGAGGAGCGCCCCTCATGCTTCAGGCCAGTCTACCTTCATTGACCTGACCGGCTCAAGCGATGAAGATGAAGCAACAATCACAGACGTTCGCGCCGTCAATCGTCCACACTTCATCGCCGCTTCCCAGCGCCAATACGGCCCGGCCGATCCGTTTGCCGCTGACCTCGAGCGATATTATCCACCCAGCCACTACGCGGCCAACCCACTAAGCTCAGCAAACACTACCATGTCAAATTACAAGCAGCAAATGTCCGGCCTGGGCTCCCTCGCCTCCAACATGTACTCTACCGCTCAGACTCTAGCTCGGGGCGTTGGCAATGCATTCGGGGAACTGACGGGATATGGCGCCGAGAGCAGCTCCCGGAGGTCGTCCCGGCTACCATGGGAAGTCGGCAATGACCCCCTCGACCGTTACGACGACAGATGGAACGTCACCCCACAGGAGACCAAAGACCAACTGCACAAGCTGCTCGAGAACATCAATGCCGACGAAGACCGAGAAGAGACTCCCGTCCAGCTCAGCATCGAGCTCAAGGACCATCAGAAGATCGGCTTGGCCTGGCTGCGGAAGATGGAAGAAGGCACCAACAAGGGAGGAATACTCGCCGACGACATGGGTCTTGGCAAGACCGTCCAAGCTCTAGCCCTGATCATCGCCCGACCTTCGCCCGAAAAGAGATACAAGACCACCCTGATCGTCGCCCCACTGGCACTCATGCGGCAGTGGGAGAAGGAGATCAAGACCAAAGTCAAGCCGCGCCACCGCCTCTCCGTCTACATCTACCACGGCCCCAACCGAAAGCAGAGCTTTGACTATCTCCGCAACTTTGACTGCGTGCTGACCACGTACGGAACTCTCGCGACCGAGCGCAAGAGAAAGGAAAAGTGGGACAAGATATGGGCGGAGAATCCGACGGCCCGGATTGGCAACAAGGATCGCTTTCCACTTCTTGACAACAGCACGAAGTGGTACCGTGTCATCCTGGACGAAGCCCAGAATATCAAGAACAAGGATGCGCTGACCTCAAAGGCAGCCGGAGAACTGAAAGCCTGCACCCGCATCTGCATGACCGGAACCCCGATGATGAACAACGTCAACGAGCTGTACTCGCTGATACGGTTCTTGGGCATCAAGCCCTACTGCTTCTGGAACTCATTCAGACAGGACATTGGTGGTCCCATCACCAAATGGTCGGGCAACAACGAACCGGCCATGGAAAAGCTTCGCGTGCTCTGGAAGGCCATAGCCTTGCGGAGGCGGAAGGACTCCCAGATCAACGGCAAACCCATCATCGTCATCCCGCCCAAGGTCGTAGAATCGGTCCACGTTCAGTTCGACGACGACCAGAAAGCGCTCTACTCTGCCCTGGAGACACAGACCCAGGTCAAGTTCAATAGATATCTCAAGGCCAACAAGGTGCTGAACAACTACGCAAACATGCTCGTCTTGCTGCTGCGACTTCGGCAGGCCTGCTGCCATCCTCACCTGATCAACGACTTGGGCATCGAAGGGCCTGGTAATATGACGCTGGACGGCATGAAGACTTTGGCCGCGCAATTCGCCGACGACGTCGTCGCTCGTATCAAGGACCAAGAGGATGCCTTTCAATGCCCCGTGTGCTTTGATGCGACGGAGAACCCTTCGCTCTCCTTTCCCTGCGGACATGTCCTCTGTCTCGAGTGCTTTGCCAAAGTCACGGATCCAGCAAACGTAGCCCAGGGTGATGACGGCGACACGCGACCCAAGTGTCCGTCATGCCGTGAGCGGCTTGACGCGAACCAGGTCGTCGACTATCGCTCATTCTGCAGCGTGCACATACCCGGCAAGTTCCCCGAAACCGGCCAGACGCCAGATGACGAATCCGACTCCGATGACGACGAGACTGAGGATGACGACGAGGAAGAAGACTCCCTCGAGGACGAAACCCTCGATGGCTTTATCGTGCGGACAGATGATGAAGAGGAAGCAGAGGAAGCAGAGGAAGAAGACGAGGATCAAGTGCCCGGAAAGCAGAAAGCAGCCAAAGCCAGACACAAAGGGAAAGCAGTATCGAATGGCAAAGGGAAAGCCAAGCTCGAGTCTAGCGATACGGAGCCCGACAGTGCCTTGGACTCCGCCCCCGGATCCTCGGCACGACGTCCAAAGACAAAGGCTATCCTAGACGAAGATGACGAAGTTGATGAAGAATCCAAGTCAAAGAGTCTTGTACCTACAAACGGACAGAGTAGCACGACGGCAGCGAAAACAAAGGGAAAGGGCAAGCGGCCTGCGAAACGCAATCCTTTTGCTAAGAAGCCCCCGAAAAAGACACTTGCTCAATTGAAGCTAGACTCTCGACGGAGCAAAGCAGCGCGGCTCGCTTATCTGAAACGACTCCAGAAGCAATGGGAAAACAGTGCAAAGCTCGAGAAGACCATGGAGCTATTACGCTCCATCCGTGAGAACGACCCGACCGAAAAGACAATCATCTTCAGCCAGTGGACCTCCCTGCTCGACCTGCTCGAGGTGCCCATCAACAAGGAAGGCTGGGGCTGCCAACGCTACGACGGCAGCATGAAACCCGCCGAGCGCACCGAAGCCATTGACGAATTCACCGAGTCCCCCCGCTGCACAATCCTCCTCACCTCGCTCAAGGCCGGTAATGCGGGCCTCAACCTGCACCAGGCCTCGCAGGTCATCATGCTGGACCCCTTTTGGAACCCGTACACGGAGGAGCAGGCCATTGATCGCGCCCACAGGTTTCCCCAGCAGAGGCAGGTGCATGTGCATCGCGTCCTGACTACCGAGACGGTCGAGGACCGGATTGTGGCTCTGCAGGACAAGAAGAAGATGCTGATTGAGGCGGCCATGGACGAGACGGCCGGTAAGAATATTGCTCGCTTGGGCGTGCGTGAATTCGGGTATCTCTTTGGTCTCAATGCGCTGTAGCGGGGCAGGCCGATATCTCGTCACGCTGAGCAGTTCCATGTCAACGGATACCTTACCGGGGGCGTTTGGAGCAGTGCGCCTATGTGCCGCTTCTCTCCAGTTTCATTCGAGGTTAACGGAGTGACGGACCACCAACACGACACAATTTCTCCGGTCGGCGATCTGATATCATTTACCCGGGGCAATAGCGCCGGTGGCGTTCATTTATAGATGGCAAAGAAAGGGGCTCAAGGCTCGCGCCAGATTATCTTTTCGGACTTTTTTTTTTACTGGGAGGCAAACTGTCTTTTGGTTTATTTTGGATACCACCCCAGCTTAGACAGATTACTCTGCTGTTTTTTTGGAATTCTTATGCTTTGTTCGAGGCGCGATCTTGGACATTGTTATGGTGTGCTTGATATGCTGATCTATGATGTGTGTGTGTGTGTGTGTGTGTGTGAGTGATGCTTTCTTCGAGACTGGCCTTGTCGTGGAATATAATGAACCTCATAGCCCTCTGACGGTCTAAGTTGACCTGAGTATCATCCCTTGCGGTCTCCGGGTCCCAGCATACGCGAACATGTCAGCACGGGTAATGCGGGACGGCCGCTCTTCGGCGAAACAGGCACGTACAACCTCACGTCGAATAATTTCTCTTAGTTTACTAGCCGTCCTCTACCACATCACACAAACACCACGCACAACCCAGGCTGAGCCTTCCTTCATATCCTCAACTTGCACGCCCGAACAGCTCGCCCAGCATGTCGTCCATGCGCAACGCCGTCCAGCGCCGCAACCACAAGGAGCGCGCCCAGCCCGAAGAACGCAAGAAATGGGGCCTGCTCGAGAAGCACAAAGTAAGGACTTTCCGTCTGCCCCGCTTCTCTCCTACATGTACCTAACAACACAATCTCCCAGGACTACAGCCTCCGCGCCAAAGACTTTGCCAAGAAAAAGGCGCACATCCGCCTGCTGCGCGAAAAGGCGGGCGCGCGCAACCCGGACGAGTTCTCGTTTGGGATGGTGAATGCGCGGTCAAAGGGCGGGGTCAAGCAGGCGGATCGCGGGAATCGGAGTATGAGTCATGAGGTGGTCAAGTTGTTGAAGACGCAGGATCAGGGGTATTTGCGGACGATGCTGCAGAGTGTGCGGAATGAGCGGCGGGAGTTGGAGGAGGGGTTGGTGTTGGGGGTGGATGGGGTTGGGGCGTTGAAGAGTGCGGGGCTGAAGCAGGGGGGGCATATGGTTTTTGTGGATGGGGTGGAGGAGCAGAGGGCGTTTGATGCGGGGGAGTGGTTCGGTGTGGAGGAGGGGGATGGGATGATGGGTAGGGTTTGGAATCGGAGGAGGAAGGGGTCGACGGGTGTGGCTGCTGAGGAGAAGGAGGTGCTTGAGGATGTTGAGGATGGGGATGGTGGTGGTGGGATGAAGAGGAAGAAGTCGCAGAAAGTGCAAGACGCGGAGGCGCAAAATGCCAAGGACGAGGCTGTGTGGCAGAGACGAAAGGCGAAGTGGCAAGACCAGCAGCTGAGGAAGCTCGAAGCCGTCAAGCAGAAAGAGGAAGACCTGGTGACGGCAGACCAGGAGTTGGAGCTCCAGCGCGCGAGGGCAAATCACCAGATTGGCGGCGTCAACAAGAAGGGCGTCAAGTTCAAGATCGGCCAGCGTCGGCGGTGAAGGAAGCAAGCGCACATCCACATCATTTACAATGCGACAAGAATACAATCCTACAATTTACTCGGCATCCTCATCGCGCCATCCAGCCGAATGACCGTCCCATTCAGCATCGGATTCTCAATACACTCCCTCGCCACCCGCGCAAACTCGTCCGGCTTGCCCGCCCTCTTCGGCCACTCCATCACCCTCTCCAGGCTCTGCCGCACCTTTGCGCCCATCATCGCCGTCATCCCGCTCTCAAACAGACTCGGCGCAATCGTCACCGCCCGGATCCCGAACCGCGACAGATCCCGCGCAAGCGGCAGCGTCAGACTCGCCAGCCCGCCCTTGGACGCCGCATACGCCACCTGGCCCATCTGCCCGTCGAATGCAGCCGACGAGGCAAACATCAGCAGCACGCCGCGCTCGCCGTCTGCGCCCAGCGGCTCGTTTTGCGTCAGGTACGGCAGCGTCTGGCGGATCAGGTCGATGGTGCCGCGCAGGTTCACGTTGATGACGAAGTCGAAGGCTGCGAGGGGCAGGGGTTCGTTGTTCTTGTCGATAATCTTGAAGACAGAATACAAATTAGCTTCATCTACTTTCTACTCTCTCCACATCCATGCCCCTTGTTCCCCCTTTCCCCATCGTCCCCCTTCTCAACTCCCCAACTCCCCAGCAAGCACACAATGCGCAAAAAAAAAAACTCACCAATCCCGGATTCCCAACCCCGGCCCCAGCAACCACCCCGCCCAACGCCGCGCCCGTCGTCTGAACCCACTCCACCGTCCCCTGTACAGCCGCAGCAATCGAGTCCGTGTCCGTGACGTCGACCTCGTGGAATCGTGCGCGGACGGAGCCGAGCTCGGATATGATTGCGTCGCCGGCTTCGGCGTTCATGTCGAGCAGGGAGATGTAGGCGCCGTGTGAGTGCAGGAGGCGGGCTGTTGCGAGGGCGAGGCCGGAGGAGCCGCCTGATATTATGAAGGTGCGGTTTTGGAGGTGCATTTTGGGGGTGTGGTGGATGGGTGGGTAGAGGGGTGTGGGTTGGAGTGGGTGGGTGAGCAAGTGAATGAGCAAGTGAGGAGCAATTCATCCATGCAGTGATTTCGTCCATTGTGCCTCGGCATGCCCTTGAGTCGCGGCACGGCGTCAGGGCTAGGTAGTGTAATTAGCTCCACAGGTTCAGCCCTACGGAACTCCCGCGCGCGTGCCAAGCCTCACACAACCCCGTTCGCGTAGGTCAACCTCACCTCAAACCTCACCTCCAAAAACTTCTACGCCCGCACTGAAGACGCCATCTACACACAAACAATGGCATCCCCAAGCGACGCCGCCGTCGCTCCAAACGGCATATCCACACCTCCACCCACCACCGGACCCACGACCGCCGCGCGCACCGCAGGCCCAGCAGCAGGCCCAGCAGCAGCAAGCTCGCCCTCGACCCTCACCGCGCAAAACACACCCTCCACCCACCCAGCACCACCACAACCACAACAAGCACCACCACCCCAACCGCAATCCCAACCCCCCATCCCCACCCACGCCCCAACATCCACCACCGACCCCGGCACAACCAAACGCCCACGCGACCAACGCATCCTCCACCTCGTCCTAGCAAGCATGGGCGTACACGCCTACGAAGAGCGCGTCCCCCTCATGCTCCAAGACTTTGCCTACCGCTACCAAGTCGGCATCCTCGCCGACGCGCTCGCCCTCTCACCCGACAACCACCTGACCGCCGCCCACGAGCCAGGCAGCAAAAAGGCCGCCCAGCAACCTGCCGAGCCGGTCGTCAAGGCCGCTGCCATCAGGCAGGCGATTGGGAGTCGGGTGGCGCATCAGTTTTGCGCTGGGTTGCCGAAGGAGTTTTTGCTGGAGTTGGGCATGGAGAGGAATAGGACTGTTTTGCCGAGGGTGGAGAGGGAGTTTGGGGTTAGGTTGCCGGCGGAGAAGTTTTGTTTGACTGGGACGGGGTGGGGGTTGAGGGTGGGGTGGGAGAGTGAGGAGGAGGTTGATGGGGATGGGGAGGGG